TGCACCAAGCAAGTTTTCTCTGACATGTGATTTAGAAATCACAACTAGGTCATGCAAACTATGCATTAAGCAGTTCATTTGCACTAAAGGATACACTTAAAAAGCTGTTTGGAGCCATATCTCTAACAGACCCTTTCACTCTGAGTATTATGGCGATCATTTGCCTGATGGCAGCTGGCTGCTCCCTGTGAATGGCTTAATGGATTTGCCTCATGCTTGTGGGCGTGGCTTTGGTGCTGCTGACGGCCAGTGGAGTTGACACCTTGCGCCGAAGCCTAAGTCGTTAGTTCTCAGCTTGTTCGGAATGTCTTGAAGTAGTAAAAGCATGCATGACATAAATAAAATGTAGTAAGTGGTTTTGTTTATTTATTTCATTGTTCCAAATGCAGTGTTTCCTGGGTTTTGTTTGTCGGCTTGATATGTGCTGTTTGATCATTATCCCAACATAATCGTCATATTGTGTGTGCATAGAATGTGCAAAGACTTACATTATGTTATATGTGGAAGCATATTAATCTTATGAATATATATATATATAATGTTCCAATCCTCTGACTATTCACCTGTAGCTTATATCCTCCATACTCTCCGAGATACATCACGGACTGCTGGGGCAGCTTATCCCTCCGTACGATGACCGAGAATTCTAGGAATCAGCTGTGATCTGGCATGCATATCTCAGGTTGTTTAACTTAAATGAATCAGTTTTGTGACTTTATAATCAAACATGTGCAGCCTCCTGCATTCTGTTGAACTATTACTTCATGCATACGTCTTTGTTATTCTGAGAAATTCACGAATTCTATGCAACAAGAAGGCAGACAAGACGGACTCAGATTGGTTTCTCCTGTGTGACTGTGTTCTTTGGCTCTTTCCTCTCGTTCACTCGCTTTGTAGGGATATCAAAGGCGCACCGAAATGAGTGCAGGCTTCCATACGGATGATGACAAAAGCAATTTAGCAGTCAAGTTTTCTGGACACCGACTTCGCCTGCGGTTGAATACGAATGCGGTTAATGATAGTCACCAACATTGAGTCCGGTGGAAGAAGTTTTACGAAATAGCCATTTCAACGGAAAAAACCGAGTTACTGAAGAATCACGTGAGAAAACTGGCGTGCAATCGGAAAATCACACAATCCAAACATGGTTACGTAAAAGAGCAGTTTGTAAATTTCAGCTTGAAGGTGGTTATCTTTCTTTACGTTTCCATTCTGTTGATCATGATATGAACTCCAGAAGTTTCGCTTTCACGTTTCGTCCGCGGCAGTGACGTCGTGGTAGGATTCGTGTTTATAGAATGATAGCCGCGTAGAAGTTTGTTGGCGGTTTTGTAGAAGTGGTGTGCGATTGCTTTGTCCATGGGAGCTGTTACACAACAGCAGTGCCGGATTGACGTTTTGCCAATATATGTTGAGTTATGCCCGTAGAGTTTAACACACGGAAGTTCGCCGCCTAGAAGTGGTGCACTAGTTTTACCAGCACACGACTGTGATGTGGTGACAGTTGTGCCGTCACATCATCTGAACAGCCGACCGCCTGCGGCTGCCGTCTGGAGCCGCCCCTCGCCCGCGCCACAGCGCCAGCCTCTGGCCCATATTGCCGCCTGTGATCGGCTGTCTGGCCGGCGTTCTCGTGACGGCCGTGTTGCCAGCGGCCGATTGACGGTGCGCCTGGCGTCGGCTGTCAAACGCGCCGGCGACCTCGGAGGTAAACCCGGAGGTCGTGCCGCCGGCTCGCAAGCCAGACGGGTCCCCGGACGGCTGGCAGCCGGCGTCGCGGCGCTCAGGCGGCCCCCGCTGACGCCGGAGTGGGGGCGGGTTGGCAGCGCAGCCGCGCGTGGTGCGGTGTCGGCGGTGGCCAGTGCCAGGGAGTGGCTGTCGCAGATTGAGCCAAGTCTGCCAGGCCACTAATGCAACGGAAAAGTCAGATAACGCGACGTATCGTTTTTCGTATGTTTCGTGTGAAATTGGTTTTGAGGTACATTTTGGCACAAATTTTGCGCAAGAATCGTGAGGAATGAGTAGTATTGTAATTCGTGTGGGGTATTTCACCGACGAATATCTGCCCCGCGCTGTCCATGGCTGCTCATGTCTCCGTTATAACTTAAAGCTGTCGCATTCGGGTGATTCCTTCGGTTTTGCCCGTCAGGCCCGAGTCCAGTAACGCCAAATCGCGCTTTTCACTCTACATTACGCGCCATTTGTCCGCTTCAGAGCGCTGGCTCTGTGTCCAAGCATCAGTATGCCGCCCTGCACTTTCAGACAATAACTTGAGCTCAGCTGAGATCATTTAATAGTAAACCACTTTGTCCTAGAAATAGTAGCAGCTTTTACAACTAACCAAACGTTCATCTCACAGTGAAATAATTTTATATTTTTGGGGATGGTTCAAGGCTTTGCCTGCATGGAATGTGGCCTTCATGGACAATTACGTCACACTGTCATTTTGGCTCGTGATTTAACGGTCTCGTGAGCTGATCCGGCCCAAGCTTCAGGACTTCTCCTGATGCGACCCTGTCCTGTCACAAGTATTAGGAACGTCCGCTAGACATAGCTTCATTAAGCCGGGCGGTGCCGCATATGCAGCGTCAAGGACTCGTCGCGGAACCACGAGTTTTTGCATCTGCACGTGCGAACTCCCGAGAGCAAGGCTGTCTTTCGTTAGGTGGAGATTGTGGCAAGTCAGAATGTTTAGATAAGTTGAAAAATGCTTTCAGAATTAGCTTTCCCGAAGTTAGTTATGACCTAGTGAGCCCTTCGGAATATCCATCCTAAAGACCAAGGCTTGCGTCACAGCCATCTACACTGGCGAGCGTTAACAAGCTTGGTCTCTTCCATTGAGCGATTTGAATTTTTTTTAGAAACTTACTCAACTACACCAAATCAGCTCAAGAGGCGAAAGCTTCGGGGCGTGACCAAAACACATTACGAACTTCTCAGCTGAAGTGTTGAGACGGCTGGCCGAGAGGAAGTCATGGGGTCGGCCGCCTGCTCCTTTCGCCCCGCATCACATCGGGTCAGGTGTGGTCGTGGGCGCCGCGCTATCCCCGTAATCGGGCAATGTATACAGCTGACTTTGGACCCGCGGCGAAGCCGGTACAGACCGGCGCGCGATCAAACAACCGCCGGTGGAAGACCGCGATACGCTGCCAGGCCGGCCAGCGTGGGCGGCTGGCATCGTTCCCGGCCCGTCCGCCGTGTTTGCCGGCCCGTGCCCGCCCCCCCCCCCCCCCCCCCTCCCACCCTGTCGTCTGGCTGGCTGGCGCATGCTGACCCCGTGTCCGGCGGGGCCGGTCGGAGAGTGAACAGGCCGGCCGTCAGCAGCGCCGGCTCCGACTATCGAGGCCGCTCTGACAGGCAATAACACGCGCCAGCCACCTGCTGGTGCAGCAGGCCGAGCGGGGAGGCAGTCGCCCGCACCCACAGCGATCGGATGGTCCCGCGACTCGTGACACAAACGAAGTGCGGTACGAAAACTGGGGGGCAAACTGAAAACTGTTTTTGACTGAGTTGGCGTGGTGGGAATGTACGCATACGCAGCCGGAGTAGGAGCAGCCTGACATGTGCTGCGGAACGCAGAAACACTACAGTTGTCTGTCAGAGCAACGTGGGTGGCCTTAATGTTTGAACGCCTTGCATTTTTTTAGATTTTTTGGACCTCTTGCGGCGGGCGAGACGGTCTCCATGTCCTTGAGCCCGCGGGATTGATACATAAACTGAATGAGAGCGTCGCTTAGGTGCCATTGGGCGAGCATTGCCAGCGGAGCGCTTGCTGCCGCTGTGCTGTTTCACCCCACCGGCGGTTGTTCGATCACGCGCCGGTCTGTACCGGCTCGGCCGCGGTCCAAAGTCAGCGGTATGCATTGCCCGATTGCGGGGATGCAGCGACGCCCACGACCACACCTGATCGGGTTGTGGTGCGGGCCGAAAGGAGCGGGCGGCCGACCCATGAGCTCTGCTCGGCATTAGCCACCAGCTGTGCCCACACTTAAAGGGAGTGTTTCGCATGTGAAGATATTGAAGCAAGCATCAGCTATGATGAAACAATCGCACTTATAACTATTGGTATACTTTTTTGTAACTACTGGTATACTTTTTACAACTATTGGTATACAGTGGAAATGACTACTCCAGACAGTACAATTTTCTGGTTAGCAAATATGCTCCTCATTGCGTCATGGTTTGATGACGTGATCGTACCTTGCACGGCATTCATTTAAAGCCAATTGACGGCCGTTATATCTGGAAATCGCACCCACGAACGCCAGATATAAATGATTTGCCAGTCATATCTTTGTTGGCCTTGATCGCCCCATGGCAGATAGAATGGCGGGATTCGAATGACGCTGTAAAGATGTCACGAATGCCATGGTGAATTTACAATACTCGTTCCGACATATCTTTCCCCATTTTCCCGGGCGTTTAGCTCAGAAACTAGAGGGGCTTAGGCCTTAAGAAGGGTAGGATTGTGAACGGTACCGGGAGGTCTTCAGGATGGCCGTGTCAGTTAAAACCCCATGTAAATGTGGAACACTCCCTTAAAGCTGCGAAGTTTGCAATGCAATTGAGTCACGCCCCCTAAGCTTTCGCCTCTTGGGTGATAATTGTTGTGTAAAACGTCAAGGATTGGTGAGCTTTTCTTCAAGCCTCTTAGGAAAGGCGCCTCGCGGCTGGCCGCAACATCCTGGCGGACAGTAGGACCATCGCAAGATCTGTTGGAATGATACCTGGACCGTGACGTGCTTACTGATATACTGTGTTTGTGCCTATGAGCTTCTCTGTCTCGACCAGCGAGTGCAGCCCCCGTGAGCATGGCGTGGTTAAATCTCATTAATGTCGGCGAGAGATAGGCCGATTCCACGACCCTATTGCAGCGGTAGTAAAGTACTGCGGCGGGTTTAACTCTGGGGCCCATTCAGCAAATCGCGGCGACTCGCCAGGTCGCAGCCAGGTGGGTGAACACCTGCACCCGCCCTCGCCCGTGTCCGGTTTGTGCCGTTATGACGGTCGGTCGGTGGGGCTGCACACCCGCCCGGCACGGCATGTGAGCGACGCCGGGCGCGCCGTACCGACCCTGGGGCGCTGCCCGGCCGGCCGCCGCCGCCGGCGGGGGTCCCCAGATGTGAGGGGGATGTGTTGAGCTGGCGTACGGAGAAGGCGTGCTGGTCGCTGACTGTTGATGTGGGACATGTCGGCGCGGGTCTGTTGCGGCTCGCCGTCCGCCGGGCGGACAGCAGTCGGCCGAGGTCTGATGCCGTCGGGGCTGGTCCAGCCGACCCGGGGCTCCGCCGCGGACAGGCGCGTGGTGGCCCGATCTGCACGCGCCGTGCCTGTCCCTGACGCCATCGGTGACGCCGGCTTCGTGTCGCCAGGCGGATGTCGGAGCTGGCGGAGGCGGCGGCCGCGCCGGCCGATGCCGTGCCGCTGGAGCCGTACCCGGCCGGCGCCGACTGGCAGTACCGGGCCGAGGGCGGCGCCAACATCGTCATCAGCCTGCCGCGCCAGGGCCGCGTGCTGCGCTTCCCTAAGACGGCCCACGCCGACCCGGTGGCGCGCCTGCGTCGCCTCGCCGATTACCGCAACCATGTGATCGCGCCGCTGCTAGGCGAGGCGGACGGCACGCCGTGGCAGGTTGTGCGGCTGGCGGCCGACGAGCGGCGCCGGCTGGCTGCCGACATCGAGGAGCGACGCCCGCCGCGCCGCCGTCACCACGCCATCAACGCCGGCGGTCTGGCGCTCAAGATGGACGACTGCGCCGTGTTTCCCGTCGCCGCCACCGCTGCCCGTCGCCGCCGCCGCACGTCTTCAGCGTTGAGATCAAGGCCAAGCAGGGCTTCCTGGCCGCCGACGACGACCTGGGCGTGTGCAGCTTCTGCATGAAGCAGTACCTGAAGCTGAAGCGCGGCACGGTGCAGCACGTGAGCGGCTACTGCCCGCTGGACCTGTTCTCTGGCCAGTTCGGCCGCGTCGACCGCGCGCTGCGTGCACTTCTCGACAGCCCGCAGAACAACCTGCGCGTGTTCATGAACGGCCCGCTTCCTGTACGGGGCACGCGCCGGCGCTGACCGGGCTCACCTGCTGGCGGCCGTGGCGGCGGCGCTTCCCGACCGGCCGGCCCATGCGCCCGACCGGCTGCTCGACATCTGGACGCACCTCATGTTCACCGTCCTCTGCACGAGCGAGGCGGTCTGCGCACCGGACGCCGCCGCGCCGCCTCCGCCGGCCGGCTGCTGCCTGGCCGGGCCGGGCCCGCCGCCGCAGTCGTTTCTGGGCCGCGTGCTGCGCGGCCAGCGGCTGGCCGGGTCCGGGCCTACACTGACGGCGCAGCGCCACGACCAGCTGACGGCCACCGAGGCCGGCCGCGACCGCCTGCAGGAGGCGTTCGCCGCGCCGTTCTCGTCGCCGCGCTGGACGCGCGTGGTGGCCGAGGCGGACGAGGAATCGACCGACCCGGTGGTGGCCATGCAGCGCTACAGCATCGGCGCCACCATGCGCGACGCGTCGCTGATGATCACGCTGCGACGCGCGGCGCCCGGCGAGGACGGTACCGGCTTCCGCGCTGTAACAGACCTGGCCGGCAACCGCTGGCTCTGCCTCTGCCGCCTGATGGACCTCGATCCGAAGCACATCAACCGCGTCAGCCGGCAGCGCTTGAAGAAGGAGAAGTCACGCGAGCTGTACTTGCGCGCGCAGCTGCCGCGCGAGCCCAGCCACGGCGTGCCGATCCCCTGCAGCGTCAGCGACGAGGGCATCGACCATCTGCTGGCGGTGTCCGGTTCGCCCGTGTAGGCTGCTGCCGCCATGAGGGCGACCTCCTAGATCAATGGGGCTCGTCGGTTACTGCGGAGACCTGGGGCTCGCTTGACGTTACAAGACCTGGGTCCACACCTTCTGGGCGTTGCCGGGCCCCGCTGCGGTCTCCCGACATCGTGGAGACCGGAGGCGTTATCGTACAGACCCGCGGCGGTCTCCCGACATCGTGGAGACCAGAGGCGTTATCGTACAGACCCGCGGCGGTCTCCCGACATCGTGTAGACCAGAGGCGTTATTTGGACAGTGTGGGGGCTCGGAGCGCTCGCCTGGTGTCTTGAAAACTTGAGGCGCCTGCGGGAGTTTGTTAAGAGCTGGGGCGTTCCCGGAACTTGGCAATAACACGCGGCGGCGTCCGGAGGTTGTGAAGACCTGGGTAGCTCTCTCGATGGCGATGATGCCTGGGCCGGCATGGGCAGACATGTCTGGGATGTCGCCCAGACGTGGAAGATGGGACGTTCGAAAGTTATAAGGACCTGGTGCGCTCCCGGGACATCTTGCAGACATGGAAGCTGAGAGCATCGTGAAGACATGGAACGCTCTATTGACGCCATGAATACATGGAACGTTCCCGTTAACTGTGAAGCATGGGGCACCCTCCAGACAGCATGAAAGCCGTAACGCGTCTCTGGAATTTAAAGACCTGAGGTGTCCTCAGGACACCTGGAAGACATGCGACTCTGTAGGCGCCGAGGTGCCTGTGACCGGCTACAGAACACCAGAGAACCGCGTACGGACTAGGGCTTCCCGGGAATCCGGCGCAAATATGGGCCTCTCGGACCCCCCATACGTTAGTCTGGGGGTCTCCTGGACATGCCTTCTATGCTGGACTTTTTTTTAGAGCCTCTGCATAGACTAGCATACATGCCGGACCGCGTGCCCCGAGTAGTATTCGCTGGACTGCGGGCAGTCGGGGTGCTCTGCCGCCCGCCCCCCCCCCCCCCCCTCCCTCCCCCGGTCGAACGTGCGACCGTGTGCTTTTCGAACCGGTGTGGACCAGAATGCTGTAGGAGCAACCGCGTGGACCAGAGTGCAGCGCTGATTCAGACATTCATTGTGTGTATCAGGACCTGCTGTGGGCTACTTTGGCTCTTCCGTCACTTGCTGCTCGTGCGCTACACGCCCCTCGCCGACGCCCCTGACCCACCAATAGATCTCCGTACCACGTGGGGCCCTCCGATGCAGCAGTGTGTGGGTTTTCTTACTTCTGACCTATCTGATGACTCCGCTCGATGCTGAATCGCCGTTCTGTGTGCTGGAGGCCTGGGATGGAGGCCTCCTGCTGATCCAGTCTGCGCACGGACTATGATGTGGACAGTCGTCACTGGTTTTTGCATGTGGTTGTGTCTTTGTTGTGTTTTTTAGTGTTGGCTCGCGTGGGTGGCTGGGGTGATGTTGCTGCGTAGCAGGTTGCGAATCCTGTTTTCCGCAGAGATGGGCAGATATGGGCGGGCAGTGGAGGAGCTACAGACTGCTTGGAGCCAGCGGTCTGTGGAGGAGGCGAGCGGCGGGACTAGAAATGATGCTGGGGAGGGGAGGCTGAGTAGGCTCGGGAAGGGACCCAGCAGCTCCCAGCGGGGAATGAGGTACGGCCATGCGACGTTACACTCAGTCTGAACGCTCAGCCATTTGAGGTAACTTGAAATGGTCGTATGGGCCATCTTCAAGTACGTTGCGTATTTGTGGTTATTCTCCTCCCCTGGTTGCACATTGGCTACACTGGGCGAGAGCCCCTCCCACAAGTTACCATCTAAAAACATTTTAAGCATTTCGGCATCGTTCGCAACCACACTGGAGCGCAATGTTACGCTGTCCAAAATGTCGCTCCCCGTTGCGTCTATGTCTGGCTCCGCCAAACCCCCTTCCCCGATGTCCCCAACGTAAGTCATGGACAGCCTCGGACGAAATGGGCGCGGAATGGCCACTACGGCTGGCGCCCCAAACAACAGTAATCAAGATTGTTTTAGGAAAAATTACAGAACAACAGGGGGTTGCTATACTTTTTTGCACACTGGGCGCGGAAATGACGTGGGTTGCGTTTCTTCCCCATTGGCTGTTAATGTGGCAGATCACGAAGGGTGGCGTGAGTTCAAGGGTCTGGGAACAGGCTGAGCGGGAGCTATTGCCCAACTTTCAAGCCGATCCTAGCTTCGCGCTGCCATGAACACCCAAGAACATTGGGGGGGGGGGGGGGGGGTGCATGTCAGTGGGCCCACAGACCGTCGCTTTTGTAGAGGAATCTGTCGGTGCTAACAATCGTCTGTGTTACAAAAACCGGTGCAAAGACAGTGCCATGTCACAAATCAAGCGTGCTGTTATGACATATATGTGTGCATTTAAAGGAAGAGCTGGTTCTCTAATTGTCTTTCGTGTGTGTCTTTCGGCATGAAGAAGATCCTAATAAACGCAGGCATGCATTACAGATGGTAGTTTGTTGCACTCGTCTTGACACTCCGTCGGAACCAGCCAATCGATATGTTGCTGCTGTAGAACATCTCGCACGTGCCCTTAAAACAATAGCCAACTATGCGGAGGGCGTGGCACGCGCTGCAAACCCCGCGCGGCCGGATTTCCGGCAAGGACAGGGCCGACCGCGCTCAGCCGGCATGCTAGGTAAACCGGTTCCAGGCAAAAAAGTCAGATGGAAAAATGCCGAATGAAAAAGCCAAGGGGATAAAAGTCAACCGAACCAAAGGCGAGCCGGAAACAAATTCAAAGCACAAAAAGTCGACAGGGATAAAAGTAGGATCGGAGAATAGTCGAAGGGATAAAAGTCGACAAGGATAAAGAAAAAAAATGGGAGAAAGTTAACGGACATAAAGTTAAAGGGGATAGGAGTACAGACGGAATAAATAGAGTCAGGACATCGACAAGCGTTAAAAGGCCAACTCGATATGCAGGAGTACCAGTAGTCAAAACGACTTGAAGCTGAACGTCATCGTGGGAGATAGATGGAACTGAATGGGGACGAAAGCGGCGAAAAAATAGTACGGGGCCAGGCAATGCCCGGAGCGACCAGGTGAGAGCGAAGATGGCACCGGATCGGATCACAACCGGATGAGACCAGATGGAACCAGATGGGACGGGACAGGACCGAACCGGACGCCGCCAGACCGGCAATGCGCGTGACCGTACGCGATCAGACAGGACAGAACTTATTTTAAACATGTGAACTGGGGGGAGGGGGGAGGGGGCAAATCTCCACCAGTGGCCGCAAATCTCCCTCCCCTCCCTTAGTAAACCGTGAAGTCCTCTCAGCGAAAGCCATGGTTTTTCCGGCAGCTCACGCCCGACCAGGTCTTTGAAAGACGAAGGAAACCTATGGTTTGCCGTCAAAATTGCTGGGAAGCCTCACTATCAAGATTAAACACATTTTACCTACCCGTAGATTATCAGAATTCAGGTCAAGGAGGCCACATAGCTGAGCTAGTGAGTAGGCCGCGTAGCTGAGCTATTGAGATAGGCTGGGCTTATAAGAGCCTTTTCTTCATCAACAGGCCCACTTTTTGGATCAGGCCACCTTTCTGCGTAATGTAGCCCATGCTCTAGGCAAGTAGGCCCAATATTATGTTGAGGAGGCCCATTTACTGGCTCGAGAGACCCCGTTGCGAACTAGGAGGCTTCTTTTCTGGGTTAAAAGGCATCCTATATGTTCAGGATGCCACATTTTCGAATCAGGAGGCCCCTTTCATGCATCAGATGGCCTCGGGTTCCGGATCAGGATGCCCTGTTTGGACATACCGGGGCCCGTTTGCTAGATTTGCAAACCCCACTTCGTGAATCGGAAGCATTCTGTTCTGGATTAGGGGATTCCTCTACTCATCAGGGGCTCTTTTCTGGAACAGGTGGCCCCGTTTAACGATGGCGATGCTCTGTGCTAACTAACCAAAAGGTCACACTCGGCATGTTCGAATTGTCGACCATTTATTTGGTGGGTATATACATGCGACAGTTAATTAGAGGCCAAATGCTCTCGATGCCCCTCCCCCCCTGAAAACAACACTGCCCTGAAGGCCCCTTTGAGAATGCTCCATTTTGTCCAGCAGGCTCCTGGAAAAAAAACTCCCAACTCAAAATCTTTGGCACAAACCCTCTCAGAAGTGCTTGTTCACATTCTTCTGGCTTTTGTCTCTTTGGGATTTTGGTCTTTGGTCTTTTCTACTTGTTTGTTATCCATGTCCACCTTAGTCCATTGACTTTTTAAATCTCGTTTTTTTTCCTGGATGACTTTGATTTTGTCGACTTTTTGGGCCCTTTGACTTTTTTTCGCCTCGACTTATGTCCCTGTTGGTCTTTATTTAACCCCGTGCGTTTTTTAGTTTCATTTTTCCGATTTGACCCTTATCCCGTCGGCTTTTGATCATTTATACTTTTTGTCTTTCGACTTTTTTCGGTTCGACTTTTGTCCCAGTCGACTTGAAGCCATGTCAACTTTTTCCATTCGATTTTTTCTTTCGAAGCGAACTACGGACGCAGTGATCTGCTCACTCTCTACATAAGGCACATACAGCGTAGTCCAGAAGTCATTAAGGTAGCAATATCGAAAGCAAAGAAAGCCAGTGACGTATTAGCCAACGCGGGAGTGTCGCTTTCCAAACTGAATGATGGCTGTGGCAGTAATTTGGAACTGAGGAACTATCCCCTCGAATTTCAAAAAAATCCGTGTTGACGTTACTCGCCTTATGAAATGAAATAACCAAAGCACGGTTATTAGCCGTTCCCCTCCCAAATTGGGCGAAAACACCCACCAAATTGGGAGAACTTCGCAGCCCTATGTCTGACTAATTTTCTACCTGAAGTGAGTTCTCGTATTGTGTGTCTGTCACCTCTTCCACAAGAACTATCAAACAACAAATGCGTAACAACCGTAACCTCGCCATCGATTCCCTGCAGATTAGAGCGGCCATTGCCCCATCGGGTATATCCCGTAACCTGAGGTCGGTATTGCAGAAGTGACATATCGTCACTGACCACG